AGTTTCTAACCTCCCTTTCGAGGGGAACTACGATTACTCTGATTTCATTCCCTATCCAAGATACGTAGGCACAAGATGCGATGTCTTGCCGAGTAAACTTAGGACTAAACCTTAGGTCTTTAGGTCACTCTATCTCTTAGCTCAGTATATATACACCAAGCAAATAATAAAATAAAAAGGCATACAATAAACGAAAGGTTCCTGTAGAGTACTACAGAAGTTTAGGGTGCTAATACCTTCCCTAAGCTTAACCAACCCCTTACCTAGGTCTCTCCCCGCATTGTGTTTACGATGCAAAAAATAGGTTTTCCCTCTTTTGACCTTTTCCTTCGGATAAATCAAAGAGCGGTTATGAATTAAGAATTGTGATTCAAACTAATTAATAGTTTGATATCATATTTCCACCGCAACAACCATCATAACATAATGCACATATCACCCAAAACCCACTGTCATACTCATGGCAACTCATCCCAGAAATCCCAGAATCACACATCACGGCCTCGCCGCACAACAATCGATTTCGCGAACTCTGCTACGTTTGTTGGCTCGCTCGCTAGGCGAGTCTCGTAGCGAACCCCTCGCCGGCTTGCTTGCTGGGCGAGTCTCTAGCGAATCCTCGATGGCTTGCTCGCTAGGCGAACAGTGCGATGACAACAACTTCTGTTACGCACCAGAACTGATTTCCACCCAAAAACTCATACGAATCATTCATCCAATGCCCCCAAAATATCCCTAAATCATCCCTAAAGTTATACGATAATAACAGTACAAACTCTATGGTTTAGGCTAATCTGGCAACATTTGCACTGCCTAAAACACTATTTTCCTGCAATTGCTCTAAGTACATGAGAGTTACTCACATTTGAATATTTCTATTCCTATAGGTCAAACATATCACAATCCAAGGTTTTGGTTTCCAAACTCACATTAATATTCAGTGATTCATACCATAACCCACAATCTCAGAGTTCTATAATCAAATCTCTTAGTTTCCCCAATTCAACTCAGAAACCCTTAAATCCTAAATCCACCATGAATACATCTAAAGGCATACATGGAAAATCATGAACAGAAATACTCCCCATACCTTAGTCGATTCGCAGCTTTCACGATTTCTCTTTGGGACCTTCTGCCTCCAACCTTTCCTTCAGAGCTCTGGCCACACCAAACTTTCACGTTAAACACAAATGAATTCCAATTTCCTCTCAGAACTCTACTTTGTCTAACTTAGTCATGGGCCTCACACATTAGGTTTTTCCCTCATTACCCTTACTAACTCCCACAAATGCCCAAATTGCCCTTATTTCACTTATATTCCATTTAATTAATAATAATACTAATAAATTAATATTATATGCTATTAATCAAATAAATATCTAAAATGAACATTATTCCAATATTCACAAAACCACCGGAAATTCACCGAAACATGAATATTCTCAATTAAATAATTAATTAACATATTCCGATTAAATTTGGGGTGTTACACCGCCGACCTTGTTCCTTTTGGGAGCTAGGGAGAGACATTCCTTGTGAGAAGGAGAGCGATCTCGCTTCTGAGTGATCGCGGTTTGTGGCCTCTCCAGTTGCGGCCTACGTCCAGGCTGTCGCAGTGATGTGCTTTGAGATTCATCCTATTGGTCTCTCCACGGGGGATAGTAGGGACGCGTTTCTCGCTGTCGTGGGGATAGGCTACGAGAAACTGGTCGTCGATGTCTCCGCGGGGGAGAGCGTGACTATTTTTCTTTCTCCAGTATCCTGATGCGTTTGTTTTACTCGAAAATCATCAAGTTCGTCTGGTTAATCACCGCGAACAAGGACACCGTGGTAGGATCGGTGTTGGGCGGCACAATAATTGGCTGGAAAACCGCCGGAATCTCGAAACATTGGGCAAAGTTGTAGGTCGCATCGTTGGGGGATGGAGAGGCGGTGTGTCTGTTTCTAGGGTCACCTTCAGTGAATGCCACGTTGTTGTCATGGTCATCACCGTCAGCGAAGGTAATAAAGGCAGTTTCGTGGATGTTGTCGTTAATGCGTTGGCTAGCCATGATCGAGAGAAGTTAAAGATTTGCTTTGATCTTTTGAATTCGGAGGGAAAAAAGACAGGACAACAAAAGGTTTCCATAGACGGCACCACTGATCTTACTAGATTAGAAAGAGGATTAGCATCTAGTTACACATCGCGAGCTCCAAGTTCGCCGATTGTGAAGAAGAGGAGAGGGGGTGTACCTATAAGACACTCTGATGTCAAAGTAAAGAATAGAGCAAAGAGAGAGCAAATATAGAAAGCTAGTTTGAGTTAGAAAAATCTGACCCTCCTCTAGATGTGAGTGTTTATAATGAGCCCTCATCAATGGGCCAACGGTTATCCGTATTGGGTAGGATCTTTAGGCCCAACATGGATAACTGTCGGGATCTATGTGGAATGGGGAAGCCCAGCACATGGTCCTCATATTGGGTCAATCGTCTCGTGGACTTCGGGAGGTGGAGGAACTATTCTTGAGGGCGAAACTGTCGCTCGAAAGTCGTGGGTAGTTGGCTGGTAACGTGCCCCCGTGTGGGAGCATGTGGAGAGCGTGGGGAAGACGCGTGAGGAGCGTTCCCCGTGCGGGATGATGATTGGGCCTTTTTTGGACCCTCCTCTACGAGGAGCTGGGTTGGATCGTGCCCGACGATGTGCCAGTCTTTGACTCAGTCCAGAACATCTATAGTTTTGGAGTTTCCACGTTAAAATTGTTTAATTGTTATTATTTTCCTCTTTTTATCTATACAATTGTTTTTCCTAACAAAACAAAGAGTTTTTAATGTTACCCAAATTACACCAAACACACGGTGGGAGAATTGTGATATAAAGTATATTAAAGACTTTAAGAAAATAAATTAATTTTAAAGTCGATTTTAAGAAGATGGGCAAAAGATGAAGAGAAGTACAAGAAAATAAAGACAAAAAAAGTATATGGATAAGATATTAGAGAATAACACATCAAATTTTCTTCTGGTTTAGCCCAAAACCACAACGCCTATGTCTAGTCCCAAAGGATTAACACTTGAGATTTCCACTATCACAGAGTTTTTACAACAAAATCGGCCCACAACCTTCTTACACCAATCTTTTAGCTAAGACTCAACTTGCATCATTTAAATTAAAATAGCATAGTCAAAAGAACAACCCTCTCTTTATTAGAGTTACATATTAACAACCATTTACACAAGATAACTTTGCCTAAGTGTTTATTAACACTAAAATAATATTTAAGTGAATATTAAATTTAAAAAAGCAATAAAGTGAGTAAAAGAGAGATTATTTTCAGATTTCTTGTGTGTTTTCAAATGATTACAAGTTCTCCTTTTAAAGTATAACATTTAGTTAAGAAATGAAAGATTTTTGGGTCGAGTTTACACCATAATCGATTAGGTTGTGTCCATAATCGATTATAGCCTAGCAAAATAAGAAATATTTTACGAGATCCAAACCATAATCAATAAGAATACTTTCTTAATCGGTTAACGAACAAGTTTGTCCCATGTACTTGCGTTTGTGCGTGTGTGTGTGCGTGCGTGCTTGCGGACTTGTGCGTGCGTGTGTGTGCGGGCGCGCACGCGCGTATGTGTGTGTGTGTCTGCGCGCGCGCGTGCGTGTGTGCCTGCATGTGCACTTAATTTTATATTTGATTCCATAAAAATAAATAAATATTCAGAGCACTATATCACAAATGAACTTTGTGAGTGTGAAAAATACATAAACAGTCAGAGCACAAGATCATAAACGAGTTTTTGTGTTTGAGTGTGCGCGTGCGCGTGTGTGTGTTTAATATCTTTAGAGCACACACTTTAATTTACATTTAATCCAAAAATAAATAAGCAGTGAAGCACAAGATTATAGACTGTGTGTGTGGGGGGGGGGGGGGGGGTGCATGCGCGTGTGTGTATGTGTGTTTGTGCGCGTGCATGTGCGTGTATGCATCTGTGTGTGTGCGCGCATGTGTTCTACGACTTTAGTACTTTGAAAGCATATACTTAATTTTACATTTGATCTTATAATCAATCACTAATTCAATAATCAATCATAACACACAAGATCACATAGTATTTTGCAATTTGCTCTATTTCTGGTAAAGTTCTTATAGCATTAGATTCTTTTGCAAAGATCAATAAAAACAATTTTTTTTAATATGATTCACATTTTATTCTTTAAACACCATTAATCAAATTTGTTTTAGAAAAATATATAGAAAAGTTTAATAGAAAAGGTTATTGTGAACAATGATGAAATTATAAAGAGTTTATGTCAAATTAGCATTATTTTTATTGAATGACCTCAAAGGCAAAATTAATAGTTTCCCCTCTCATAAAGTACCTATACTTTGGCATATCGCCTTTGCTCACATAGGCAATCTTCATCAAAGAAGCACGTTTACTTTTACTAAAAAATAATTTGAATTTCAATTTTCAAATATATCCTATTAAAATCTAGATTTTAAAATTCAAATATTTTACAAAGGTTTTTAACCTCCTTTAAATGGCTCAATTTTATTTTATTTAATATCTCATATTTATGTTGTTCAAAATTGAAATTAACAACTTCTCATCTCACAAAGTGCCTATACTCTTGCATATCATCTTTGCTCACATAGACATTTGTATAAAACTCTAGCCATTAATAATCCTTGGGTTGTTCTTCTCACCTTATAAGGGTGGACAACACTCAGAAAACTCTAAAATACATTTGGTGCTGTTTGAATATAGTTTTCACAAGTCGGTTTAAGTCAGTCAAGTATTTCTTTGGCCAAACATTTCCATGGCTAAAATACATGATAACTTGCAAAGATCTCTATCATTCATTCATGAATTATTAACAAGGCAAAAGTAGTAACTAAGACATAATACAAAATGAGCCAAGGATGACTTTCCAGTGGAACGCTAGCAATCTTTTTCTCCATTCAGATGGATCCATCTGAATGGAGAAGAAAATTTTGTTAATGTTCCAAGCATGTTTGTCACATAAGGACGGATAGATGGTGTTTATTTCCACCACAACCACCACCGACATCGGCCGAGAAACCCTGCATTTGAGAAGGGTAACCACATGATCTGAAGTCGGATTCATGTTGTTGGATCATGTCATCACTATTAGAAGCACTTGTGGCATCAGAGCATGTGGTTGCGGACGCACCGTCTCTATAGTTTTCTACTCGATTCACCTTAGATCCCGGTACATTTCCACTCGGATTCAACCTAGTGCTGCTGGAAACATTAAGGCTGTCATCTGCTGAAGTAAGCTTTAGGTCTTGGAGCTTTTTGGTCTTTAGAAAACGTCCACCGCTACCTCTAGCCCTCTTCAACGCGTGCAGATGGCGCGATTCGTGTAGATATGGCTGCAAAATAATATTCAAAATGTTGTTATCAAGAGAACTTTTTCTTAGAAGAAAAGGAATAAAAAAAGTACACTTACTTTCCGATTTTTGATGAGTTTGTTCTGTGCTTCGAGCTTTGCACGATACTCTCTACGTCTCATAATAGCATGGTATTGCTTCGCGTTCACATATATAGGTTCCTCACAAAGATCAAAAGGCAAAGGAACCCGAACCGGAGCCATTCCTACTGATTGAGCATGATGAATCTGGCAAGGTTTAGATAGTCGAACCGGTGCTACAAGTAAGTAACTCAATCGAATTCGGATAAAATTGAACACCAAACTGATTGAAATGAATAAACTATAAAATCTTACATTAATCTGTGATCCATTTGGAGCTGCTAATGGGCCACTAAAGCATGCTTTAGCATGAGGAAGTGCAGAAGAATTGCTATACATGATAGAAATTGGACCTAGAGAAAATACTCATCAATATGAACTAGAAAGCAATGAAACTTTTCTAATACTTGTTAATCCATCTAAAATCAATTTCAATTTCTAACATTTGGATTGTGATTCGAGGTCCAACAGAATTTAGATGGACTCTGATACGATATTAGAAAACATGAGTAAAATGCGGATACAGATGAGATTTTTTACAAATAATTACCTGATTTCCCTGAACCGACTTCGACATAAGATTGATCAGTTGATTGAGTAGAAGAAGAATCTTGATCTTGAAATTGAAAATCTAGTGCCTTAGTCTTATGACATTGTTGTGGCAAAACACTCATTTTCAAGGTAAGATTTTCAGACATAGAAGATTGTTGCACATCAGATTCAGAAAGAGTCCCCCATGTCATTAAATGCTTCATTATTTTCCACCCTACTCAACACATACCAATTAGAATAGAATTGATTTATACAACTTATTTTCACAAGCTATTCTTGAGACCTTATAAGAAAAAGTGAAAACAAATTATAGACATGTGAATCCAAAGAAACACTTAAACAATCATTAATCAAAACAAAGCAAAACCAAATCGTATGTAGATTTCATTGAACTCAATAATAATTACAACAAAAACATACACATGATTAATAAGGAATCGCTTACAAGGTTACAAAATGATGAATGCAATCTAACAGTTTGTGTAGTTGAGTTCAGCAGATTGAAGTTGAAGACATGTTTCCTTAAACAACAGATTCTCTCTCTTTCTCTTTGCATTAACACACGTCAATCAAGTGGCACTCTCTCACCACACCACCTTTCTCTATTTCCTAGTATTCCTTATTATTTCTTTCTTTATTATTATTACTAACAAATATATTTACTCTACACTTTATTTCTATATACTTGTGAGAAATGTAATAATGTACTCAATTCAGTTGAATATATATTTAATTTTATTTTAATTTAAAATATTATTTTTTTAGTAAAAAACTAATACTGCTTTATCTCTTAAAGAGTACTATTTTTTCATTGAGGGCTTTTCTCAAATTTTCTGAAATTTTTATATATCTTTTATTACATTAACTTTGATATTTAAATTCTATTAATTATTTTTAATAATATACTTTTAGTTATTTCTAATATTTTTATGCAATCAATATTAAGACTCGAAAAATTAATTCTCTCTTAATAACCATGTAGCAAATGTTATCCTATCAATTATAAATAAATTTAATATTATTTTTATTTTTGAGATTTAGCAACAAAATAAAGTAAAAACAAATAGTATTAAAATTATTTTTCATAAGTATTAATTCATTTTTTTTATAGTATTTATAATTAGAGTCATTGATAGAGATGTACATGGTTGGAACCCAGTTAAATCCACTCAAAAAAAATCTATAAAAGTGGTTTGGATCAGATAATTGGTTGTATATGTGTTTAAAAACAAAAAATTGAATTTCGAATAAAACCAGATCTATACTCAAAAAATTCACTAAACTATTAATTAAATATTTATTATTATAATTTTAATGAATATTAACTTAGTTGTTGCATTTTTAGTATCATTTATTATTTTATGATGCTAACAAATAGTAAAAATATGTTATTTAATTTTTTTTATGAAGATAAAAATGTTGAATAGTTTTTATTAAAAAATATGATAACTTATCATTTAGTCTTTTTTTTTTTTTACAATATGAGGGCCAACGGCCCAAACAAAATAGGCTAGGGAGCAAGTCCAACACTTGAACCCACACTATCAGCTAATACCAAATGCGACAACTCTGATGGACAATCTTCCACACAGTAATCATCCTCATCGCAAGGAAGAAGCTCCAACTTAGCTGGGAAATCAAAACAATTATTAGAATTTATGGGACTATGATTAAAAATAATCTCTTTAAAATGATTAAAGAGAAGCACGATGCGTCGAACAAGGGAAGATCCTTGACTAAAGGCAAAAACCTTCCTAAAAAGAGAATCCACAACACATTTATTATCCACTTGAACAACAAGCTTGAAGAAATTATGCTGTCGGGCAAAAACCAAACCGATAAGCCCATAAGTTATTGCAATTCCCAATGTATTTATGAAAATCACCACGCCAATGACTAAGATTATCACGGAACAACCCCCACAGCGAGCGACCCCAAAAGACTTACTCGATCCATCCGAGTTGAGGTAGATCCAACCAAAAGGAGGGGGCACCATTTACTCGAAGGCGGCTTAGAACTCACAGGCTAAAGCCTACGGGCCAGAATCCTGCTAGAATTATAGGGGAGAACTTGATTACTAATTATCTGCTCCAAATTGAAAGGATACACAATGTTGTAAATGTGCTTTAAAACCTTTGTTGATGAAAAGAAAGAAAACATTTATTTGGAGATTGCATTTACCACAAAAATCATAAGTTTTAGAAAGTCGGACAAAAAGTCGAGAAAAGAAAGAAACGGCCGATGAATAGTGTCGTCTGTACGGTGAATAATGTTTTTTAGTTTTCAAAATTTTTTAGATCCGGTCCATGAATCCATGTGATTTTGGGCTTTGTTTGTTGGGTATTTGCTATTATAAATATGCATCTCTTATATGCTTTGTGTGTGACAATCTTAGAGTTTTCACCAATAAAGGAGATCAAGGGTTTAAAGGTATAGCATAGAGTTTCAGCTACGCACAAAGAAAACCTTGGATTACACATTGGGTTTGAGTGATTCATATATTGAGAGTTGGAGAGGTAGGAAAATACTTGGGTAGAAAATAGGGTTGTTCTTGGGAACCTGAAGGCGAAGGCTATTTTCTTGTAACTCATTTGTAATCTCTTGTAACAACTTTCTGAGTATAGTGAATTGGAGAGTTTCTCTCTCCCCTAGTGTAGATCGTTTGATCGAAATGGTTAAACAAACCTTCAATTTTTTCTTACCTTATTCTGTTATATTATCTGTGTACGAATTATTATTGTTGAAGACCATTTATTTTGGTTGCATTGTTCTTTGCCTCAAAAATTGATATTGAATTTTGTCGTAATTCACAACAAGATTCACAACATGTGGTGCGGTGAGTGCGGAGCAAAGAGATATTGTTGATAAGTGAGCACCATGGTTAATAGATGGTTGATCGAGAAATTTTCCGGTAACAACGATTTAGGATTATGGAAAATTAAGATGCAAGTCATTTTAATTCAAGAAAAGTCTATCGATGCTTTAAAGAGTGAAGCATTGATGCCTGCAAGGCATACACACGCACAGAAGACCGAGATGGTGGATAAGGCCAAGAGTGCCATTATCTTGTGCCTCGGGGATAAAGTTCTAAGAGAAGTCACCAGGGAGCAAACTGCAGTTGCTATATGGGAAAAACTTGAATCATTGTATATGACAAAGTCTTTGGCTCACAATTTGTATCTGAAACAACAACTCTATTCATTTCGAATGGCGGAGAACAAATCCATAGTTGAGCAGCTCACAGAATTTCACAAAATTATCGATGATCTTGAGAATATTTAAGTGAAGATTGATGATGATGAGAAGACTTTGCTCCTGTTGAGTTCATTACCCAAATCCTTTGAGCATTTTAAGGATTTCCTTATTTATGGTAAGGAAGGTACTATTACTTTGGATGAAGTCCAGACGACGGCAAAATCCAAAAAAATTTCAAAGTCAAAAGATTTGAAGATTGAAGATAGTGATGAGGGCTTAAATGTGTCAAGAGGAGGAGATGAACGTAAAAGGATGTCCAAATCAAAGAGGTCAGACAAGTCAAAGGTAAAATATTTTAATTGTTAGAAAATCGGTAACTTTAATAAGGATTGTCTTGAAAGAAAGGTCAATGAAGATTATGTTCAAGTTGTAGTTACATTGAGTGAGGAAAGTCACGAGGATGTCGAAGTACTAGTAGTATCGAGTTTGGAAACTAAAGATAGTTGGGTCATTGACTCAATTTTCTCTTTATCACATGTGTCCAAGAATATAATACTTTGAAACTTTGAAGATGGTGCAAGGTGGAGTAGTTTGCCTTGGTAATAGGTTTTTCCCCACTAAAAAACAAAGTTAAAAGACTATAATCCATGCCATATTTTTTTAAATAATATAGGTAAAAATTAAAATTAAATAATGAAGCTCAAACTTATTTATATTTAACTTTTTCACATAGAATTATGGTAAATTAGATGTAAATATATTCAATATGTTTCTTCTCCGTCACCAAATTTCATGTTTCTATGTCAGTAAGCCACAAAGTTAAAAGACTATTAATGAATGACAAATATTTTAGGTTTTTTCTTCACCATCCCAAAGTCTTAGGTTTTTATATCACTAAGAACAAAACATAATAGTCTATTGTAGGTGTAAAAAATTAATTATATTTTATTTTTCAATTCCAACATAAAATTTTAGGTTTTTCCCCACTAAAAAACAAAGATAAAAGACTATAGTCCATGACATATATTTTATATAATATAGGTAAAAATTAAAAGTAAATCATGAAGCTTAAAATTATTTATATTTACCGTTTTCACATTGAATTATGGTAAATCAGATGTAAATATATTCAATATGTTTCTTCTCCATCACCAAATTTCATGTTTCTTCGTCAGTAAGCCAAAGAGTTAAAAGACTATAAATGAATGACAAATATTTTAGGTTTTTTCTTCACCATGCCAAAGTCTTTGGTTTTTTCATCACTAAGCACCAAACATAATAGAAGTTTAAAAATTAATTATATTTTATTTTTCCACTCCATCATAAAATTTTAGGTTTTTCCCCAATAAAAAACAAATTTAAAAGACTATAATTCATGACATATTGTTTTAAATAATATAAGTAAAAATTAAAATTAAATAATGAAGCTCAAACTTATTTATATTTAATGTTGTCACATTGAATTATGGTAAATTAGATGTAAATATATTCCATATGTTTCTTCTCCATCACCAAATTTCATGTTTCTTCGTTAGTAAGCCACAAAGAGTTAAAAGACTATAAATGAATGACAAATATTTTAGGTTTTTTCTTCACCATCCCAAAGTCTTAGGTTTTTATATCACTAAGAACGAAACATAATAGACTATTGTAGGTTTAAAATATTAATTATATTTTATTTTTCAACTCCAACACAAAATTTTAGGTTTTTCCCCACTAAAAAACAAAGTTAAAAGACTATAATCCATGACATATGTTTTTAAATAATATAGGTAAAAATTAAAATTTAATAATGAAGCTGAAACATATTTATATTTAACTTTTTCACATTGAATTATGGTAAATTAGATGTAGATATATTCAATATGTTTCTTCTCCATCACCAAATTTCGTGTTTCTTCGTCAGTAAGCCATAGAGTTAAAAGACTATAAATGAATGACAAATATTTTAGGTTTTTTCTTCACCATCCCAAAGTCTTAGGTTTTTATATCACTAAGCACCATACAT